GGCGCCCCTCTGGTCTTCTAGATTCTTAAAAAGCTGGTGTGATTATAAAAAAATGAACTCCCTGAAGTGTAAATGAGTATTACCTGTCTGGATGGAAAAGAACAGCTTTCTTCTGGTATTAGTAACATCTCCCAGCACCTCTGCTGGCTCCCTTCACGAACTGGCTTCACTTGCTCTCATGTCAGCAAACTGCATGGCACAGAGAGGTGCTGAGAACGATTTTGGACTGAAAAGATGCGAGCTTTGATTTACTAACAGTGTCACTTTTAAAAAGTCACTTAACCATTTTATATCTTGTCTTTGTAAAATGGGAATAATTTTCATCTCCTAGAAATGGATGTGAGTTAAATATCACGCCACGCATAATTTACAGCAAGTGTTAGTCACTCTTTTAAGATGCATTTTCTGCATTTTCCCTTGCGCTTGAGAAAATCCATAATTACCAGAAGCCACACAATTCAGAGAACGTCCAACAATCCCGCTCCCGTTAACAACACATTCCAGAGAGTTCGCCAGAGCCTTACAGTGAGACTGAGAATAAAGTTATTCTAACGTTATTGTATACAAAATTTGGAGATGGCCTGTTACTGCCTTGATATTTCAGGAGTACAGAATCGCTCCTTGCACTGTCCCGTAACAGCAGCTAAAGTGGATATGTAGTCAGCGCCAAGCTCTGATGATCCCAAGTTCTCCTCTGGTAGCTTTTAGACATGCGTGTTTCATTAGGGAGTGAGTGGAAACATCCCCACATTCTTATAAAGTGCTGAAGTGACATGACTTACTTTTTGAAGGAACTCGGAGATTGGCGAGGACCACCTCCAGAGAATCAGCCTGCACTCGAAGCACATAGCTTGTTCTCATCTCATAATCAAGGGGGGCATTGACATAGATAACACCCGTGATGTTGTGGATCCCAAACATACCTGCAATTAAAACAGGGCTTCTTGACCATGTCCATTACACTCTAAGAAGAAAATTTAAATTATCTCTTTTAAAAGCATTGTGATTTTAAAAATACATTTTAAAAAAAGTTTATTTTTGAGAAAGAGAGAGAGAGAGTGGGGCAGGGGCAGAGAGAGAGAGAGGAACAGACTTTCAGGCAGGTCCGGCGCTGTCAGCCCAGAGTCTAGTATGGGGCTCAATCTCATGAACTGTGAGATCATGACTTGAATTGAAATCAAGACTCAGATGGTTAACCATCTGAGCCTCCAGGTGCCCCCAAAATACTTCTTGTAACAAGAGTAATGTGTGAGGGATGCCTGGGTGGCTAAGTTGGTTAAGTGTCTGACTTAAGTGTCTGACTTTAGCTCAGGTCATGATCTCACAGTTTGTGAGTTTGAGACCCTCGTCAGGCTCTGGGCTGACAGCTCGGAGCCTGGAGCCTGCTTCGAATTCTGTGTCTCTCTCTCTCTGTACCCCTCCCCCACTCATGCTCTATCTCTCAAAAATAAATAAAGGTTAAAAATTTTTTTAAAAAATAGAGTAACATGTGAAAGTGACAGGATCCTAGCTGCTATAAACTTCAGATTATCTTCAGCGCATCTTTACGTGAATACCCTGATTTTCTAGTAATTTTGAGACTCTTGGGAATCAGTGTCTCATCAGCCAACATTTAGGAAGCACAGCACACTCTGTCTGTCATGGTAGATCCAGATGGTCCTCCACATACTAGGGGGCACTAGACGGTGATGATGTTTAGGGAGGGAGCCTAGTGGCACAGCAAGAACAAAGAAGAAAAAGGTAAGAAAAGTAAGATGTGAGCATTTGCTGCAGGGAGAGCAATTTCTAGTAATGATTGGTCACTGAAACATTTAAAAAGGGCCTTTAGAATTTTATTGTGAATTGCTTAACAGCTTTTGTTTTATACTCATTCATTTACTAAATATTAAATATTGAATCTTTACATACTTATTAAATGTATATTGGCTTTTTCTTGACCACTAACGACAGGACAGGCCATCTCGTTTATTGAAAGAGAAAAACAGGACAACTGGTGGATAATGGTAAGATAAAGAATGGGTGAGAAACATGAACTTGTTCCCAGTGAAAAGCGGTCGTCAGGCAAACTCAGATTATTTACTTATAGCTGTTCATTGTATATCAAAGTGGGACACTTGAGGAATCATATTATACAATGTACGTGGGGTTTGTCATGGACGTGGCTCTACGGGCATTCACAATTACTCATGATCCTAACAGTTCTTCAGTGTTAGCCTAGTGTGACATGGAGTATGCCACAGATGGTCCTGGACAGTGGCAAGAGACTCCTTTGGCAATAATTATGGCCAAATGCTAGAAGTATGATGCATTAATGTAGAAAATATGTCATTGAAATATCCCTAAATGAGGGCTTGGGGAAGACTTTCAGAATTGGATAGTTACTATTTCCTAGGGGGCAAAAGATTATGTCTGCTAATATAAGCAGACAGAGGATAAATGTACCAATTACTTCTTTATTTATTTAAAACAATTATTTGTTTTTTTTTACTTTTATTTATTTTTCTTTTTTATTAATTTAAAGCAACTATTAATGTTTTATTTTATTTTTGAGGGAAAGAGAGACAGTGCATGAGCAGAGGAGGGAAAATAGTAATTCAACCTGAGATGAATCTCGGAGCCCCATGTGTTAGTTTATGACAAAAACAGACTGAAGATGCACTCACCTTCTTCATTTCCTGCAACAATAGAGTACACGATGCTCTGATTGATGGCCGCTGCAGAAATCACACCAACCGTTGTGCCTCTGGTAGCAAGTTCACTCACCGGAGGGGGTCTACAGGTTTAGAAGAGGATTCAGTCCACTTGTCATGACTGAGTTTTGAATTCAATAATACAATGTGTTAGTTTAAGTGTGTGTGTGTGTGTGTGTGTGTGTGTGTGTGTGTGTACATTTACGTGACTAACACGTTTCCCAAAATTTTCACGGTAGTCCCGCATTGAGACTCCAGCCCTAACAAACTGGGTTCAAAATTATGCAAATGCTCTTTGTGATGAATGCCATGTCACCTGCATTATTTTTAATTTGGGATATAATTTAAGATACTGTTTTATTATCTCCCAAAAATATCATACAAAATTCTCCCCACTTGTTTCTCTCAAGTACTTTCTGGACCGAAAGCAATCTGTTACGATTTGCTACCTCAACTTGCTGAAGTTGAACGTTGCTATTTTGTGGTTAATGTTAGCCTATTTAAGCAAATAGCTTCCAGATGACTCTTTCCATTCCTTATTCTTGCTCGACTGTGAAGCTCTAACTGTTCTAAGAGCAATTTCAACAGATGGTGTCACAAAACTCACCTTTCTCTTGAACTGACTTATTTTACTTAGCTGCAGCCGAGTGATACGCTCAGTATTAGAATTATTGACTTAATTTTAAATCTGTATTTCCAACAACACATCTCATTCTCAAAATCCTCATTTTATTTTACCATATTGGTCATGTAACTAGGCTATCATAGCTTTAATTGTAAGTGAATGTAAATAGTCTCATTTTAATAAATACGGGAATTTATACTACCCAGATCCAGCAGATTAAAAAAAAATTAGTAACTAAGAGGGTTTAACCACATCTCTGAATCTTTCTGTGGTTCAGCCCAACTGCTTGGGACATGCAATTTCTGTAGCCTTCCTCATCTTTCCTCAAGTTGACAAGATGAACCCCACTGTCACTTCTTCCACATGGCTTTTTCTTAGAACAATACTTACTCTTCTAATATCACTCCTCATTTTTATGTCCATGTTCTCAATTCTCATCTGGATTACACTGTGCTATCACTGAACCCTTTTATAATTAATCCCAAACTATAACACAGTCTGGAAAATTAAGTACATCCATCTCTTTATAAACATGTCCAGATTGCTAAGTTCTTTGCCACCTTAGACCACATGTTCAGTTAAGTGACCTAAATGTAAATAAAGTGATCTCTTTTACAGATGCTCACTTAATGGAGACCCATATATATTCACTGCATGTTCAAGAACTATTTTTTTTTTGCTAAAGAATAAAACCTAACCTATGTAACTTGTAATGAAAATTATGAAGTATGTATGTACACATGTATTTTGTTCTCTTTCATCTTTCTGCGTTCTTTTGTTACAGTATCCTAAGGTGACTGTGGTATAACCACAGCTCCTGCACACCCAGGGTAAGTGGTTTGGGGACCATTGCCCGGTCCTCAGGGTGTATGGGTAAACTCATTATCCATCTCTGGCCACTGAGGGCACTTTTTCCTCTTTTCTCAGTGTTCATGTCTCATGTAAAACCAATAACAGTCTTGCCCAGAAATTTTATTTTAAGTGGTAGAAAAAAAATTCTGAAAGACTTTTAATGTTGTTTGATGCTTCTAACCCGGTCGAAGGTTCTTGCTGATCACAATACCAACACAAATGAAATAACCACAGGTGGGAAACAGATGCCCTAACCTTGGACTAGTATTCTAAATGCCTCTATACATAATGCCAGGTAAGTTCATCATTTCAGCCACTAAAACACTTGGTCTTTTATCTCTCCTTTATCTAGGATTTATATCATCTTTAACCAGAAACGTTCCCACTAATTAAAAAGAACATGTTTAGATTAGAAAAGGAGACATCTGCCTAGGTAGATACTTCTAAAGTTAGAGATCTGAGATAACACAATTGTATTCTATGAGCTGTTTATGTGCACACTGGCACAGCGTCAGATTAGTAAGATAAAGACACCGCCTTTGGTAATTTGAAAGGCGATGGTAATGGTACACCACAAAAGAGAGACATTCACAAAAGTGACACCGAAGTTGGTTCTGATGGGCTTTTGTATGACAGTTTTGTATGATATTTCAGGTGATAAAGGAGACATTAAGACAATTTGCTGTTTGTCCCCTTGCTTAGTGATTGACCATGGTGGCTGTGAAGCCAAACACCTGGAAAAGATGAAAATCAGAGAGATATGAAAACCCGATCATCTCCCAAGTGGACCACAAAAGTGGCCCCTCCTGGTATTCCTCCCCTTGTGTACTGCTCTCCTCTCCAGGAGGGCCAGGCTGTGGCTGGGCGCTGGTCACCAGAACAAAGCCAAGGAAACGAGAGTTCGCCCTAGTGATTCTATTACACAAGACGAGCTTGCAAGCTCATTCTTGATTTTACACCTAATTCCCACCCTCACTGGGCTGGATAAAGGGAATAACACGACAAGAGTGATGTGGACCACCACTCAGCAAGGAGCTGAGGCCCTCAGCCCAACATCCCTCTCGTAACGGAATTCTACCAGCAACCACATGGGTCCAGAAGCAGTCCCTTCTCTAGTCCAGGCTCACCAGGGACACTAGCCCTGGCCACCACCTGGATCCCAGCCTGAGGCAGACTATGAAAACAGAACCCAGGCAACCGACTTCTGACCTTCAGAAACTTCAAGGTGATATATATGTTGTTTTCACTCAATACATTTGTAGAGATAATGTCATGTTCAAGAATAACGGACACATGTCGCTTGAATGTTGGAGCAATACGGACACATGTCACTTGAATGTTGGAGCAATAAATTGTCAACGTATAACAGATCCGTATACACATGACTCAATGTCCTAAGAAAACATATGTTGGTCATATCCTGGGATGAACTTCATAAACTGAATTTCCTCCCGTGGAAGTAAACATTGCTTAAATCGTTTGCTTGTCTATCGTGTGACTATTCGTGAGATAAGAGCTAAATTTTATACTTTCCATAATTAATTTGTTGTCTGAGCCCTATAAAGTATAGAAATATAAAGTCTGCAGCTAATGTTTAACCTCCAGCTTTAACATTAGAAAAATGCCACCATTCGTTTCAAACTTTAAAAACCATATTTCAGGAGTTTCTGGGTGTCTCAGTCGGCTAAGTATTTGACTTTGGCTCAGGTCCTGATCTCATGGTTCATGGGTTCAAGTCCTGCATCAGGTTCCATGCTGACAACCCCGAGCATGCTTGGGATTCTCTCCCCCCCCACCTCTGCCCATTCCCCCATTCCCTGCTCATGTGCTCTCTTTCCCAAAATAAAAAAATAAAAATAACATTTCATGCTTATTTTTGTTCTATTAGGATGGAAGTGATTAATACTGGAAAAAGTAAGTGGCATCATTTAAAAAGGACTTGGAATCCTATGCATACCACTAAAAGCACTTAAAAATCTATTCATAAATGTTTTAAACAGATTCACTTCTAGACAAAAAATCTCATTAACCTTTGTCTTAATTATTCCAGCACACTTCTTTCTATCAGAATCAAAACATCCTATAAAAATGCAATTTTCTCCTGGCTAGAATTAAATGAACCTCCATGACAATGGGCACTAGATTGGGAAATTTCAATGCTTTTCTATTTAGCACAAGGCAGAACCCAGTGAATTTTTGTTTGACGCCCTAGGAAGTACCAGCTCCATGACTGGGGCAGATTACATATTTCCTCAGGAGTCATATATTACTTGAATACAAAATGAAAGAGTAGGTGGCAATCAGGATCTATCAAGCTGGAAGACAGGGCAGACAGAGAAGAAAACTGAATAAAGAGTGCTGGGCATACATTAAGAGGGAGAAAGGTGGAAGTGAAGAATTGGGTGCTAATTGGGCACTGTTTACTCCACTGAAATGAGGGTAACTCTGTGTACCACTGCCAGCATCATGAGAGTGTAAAATGGGGGAAAGAAAAAGAAGTTCGAATTTTTACGTAAATTCTGTGAACTTTTAAATTTTGGAAACCAGTGAAGATTTATTTTAAAAAAATGTTTATTTGTGAGAGAGAGAGTGCATGTGCACAAGCCAGGGAGGGGCAGAGAGAAAGAGGGAGACACAGAATCTGAAGAAGGCTCCAGGCTTCGAGCTGTCAGCACAGAGCTGGACACGGGGCTCAAATCCATGAACCATGAGATGGTGACCTGAGCTGAAGTAGGGCGGTTAACCGACTGAGCCACCAGGCGCCCTGAGATTTATTTTTAAAGCATCATCTGACTTGGTTTGATCTATGGGCTGACAGTTTATGATTTTTAGACTAACTGACTGTAAGGTATTTTCCAGTCCTACCCCACTGAGTCTGATGTGATGTGATTTATCATCACCTCCCTTCTTTCTGTTGAGTGCAATCAAATCTATTGATTAATTTCAAAGCAATGAATTATGGTCAAAGAAAGGTTTCCTCAGAGGCTTTAAAAAAAAAAAAAAGCAAACTTATTTCTCTTGTTACTCATTCGTATACTTGAAATTCATCCATTTTATAATAAACAATGCATCAATAACCCCCTTCCAATTAAAATTTTTAACACCTAACTCAAAACAAAGAGTTGTTAGGCATCTGAAATTCAGTAATTCTCCTTTTTAAAGCTATATTTATTGCCAATATAATTGAGAAAAAGTACTACAACAGTGAAACAAGCAGTCAGAACAGATAGGGCTCTATCCTGAAATTGAATTTCCTCTCGTGGAAGTAAGCATTCCTTAAATTATTTGCTTGTCTATCTTGTGACTACTCATGAGATAAGAGCTAAATTTTATACTTCCTGTAATTAATTTGTTGTTTGATCCCTATAAAGCCCAGGAATATAAAGTCTGTAGCTAATGTACCTTCAGCTTTAACATTAGAAAAATGTCACCATTCATTGAAAACTTCAAAAATAACATTTCTGGGGCACCTGGGTGGCTCAGTCAGTGAAGCGTCTGACTAGGGACAGCTTTCCTAGGAATCTTCAGTCAAGCTGTGTTTCTGTTCCCCAGAAGAGGCCGGATCAGAGCATTCTACAGACAGTGGTTCTATCTTTAACAGACATG